ACTCCCAACACCTCCCACCCCACGGCCCTCACTCGCTCCCCCCCACCTCCACTCCCCAACCACCTACCTCCCCAGGCCCTCACTGCCCATCCCCCACTCCATCCCCAACACCTCCCCAGGCCCCTCACTGCTCCCCATCCCCCCACTCCAACCCCAACACCTCCCCACCCCCAGGCCCCTCACTGCCCCCCATCCCCCCCACTCCATCCCCCAACACCTCCCCACCCCAGGGCCCTCACTGCTCCCCATCCCCCCCACTCCATCCCCAACACCTCCCCACCCCCAGGGCCCTCACTGCCCCCCTCCCGCCAGCTCGCCCCCGCCCCTCGCCGCCGGCCGCGCCGCTCACTTGTGCTGGAAGGCCGGCCGCAGGCTGTACGTGTTCTCGGGGGCCGGCCGGTCCTGCGGCTCCCCCATGGCCACGGCCTCGCCGCGTTACCACAGCAACCGGCCCTGCCGACGCTACTCACTTCCGCTTCCGGCCTCTGCCCCCCTACACGTGACGGAGGAGCAGCGCGAGCAAGTGCCCCGCCCCCCGCCGTCCCTGCGCTGCCGGGCGCCCCTCCGCGTGCGCGTGCGCGTGCAGGAGCAGGACGTGGGGGCGCTGACGTCTGCACGCGCGGCGCGCGCCCTTAGCATGGGGAGGGATGCACATCTGGATGGGAGGGCACGGGCCCAGGGCTTGGAGGAGGCGGCACTCACATCTGGATGGAGGGGGCATACGCCCAGGGCATGGGGAGGGATGCACATCTGGGTGGGAGGGCACGGGCCCAGGGCTTGGAGGACGATGCACATTTGGCCAGGGGGCATGTGCCTAGGGAGAAACATGCACATCTGTAAAGGTGGGCCACGTGCCCAGGGAGGAGCATACACATCTGGACAGGGGACCTCCATGCCATGTTGTAGGAAGATGTCCTATAATGACCGGGTATCATTTTGGGGTTACACTCCTGCATGGCAGCCTGCAACCAGCTGGGAAGAGATGTGACTGACAAACAGTTTCTCTGGTCTAGGCCCAGACAAAGCCTGCGGGCATTCAGTGAACAGCAACAAAATGCATAGGACTGAAAGGGAAGTGGAGAGAGATCCCCTCCCATGATACAATTTGTAGTGATGAAATTCATTTCAAAGCAGATATTTGGGATAAAGAGTTGAAAGACCCATTTGTGGACAAATACCAAGTGGGGCTGGTGATCATTAACGATCCCGTGGTGCTACTGGCAAAAATAAAAGTGCTGACTCAGGTGTCTTGACCAAAATCCACCTCAGGTAGCTGCCGTTTGCCCATATAAGCTCCTCCTGTGATTTCAACTAGTGTGTTATTCTGTACTTCCTGTCCTAAACAGCTGTGCTTTGTGAAACAGCTGCCCCTGTTCCATCCCAGGAGCAGGAGGGGCTGCACTTCAGTGGTTGATGAGGTGAGCCCTCTGCTATGGGATCTGGTGGGTGAAAGATGCTAGGGAAATTGTGTTGTGGGGCCTTACTTATGAAGGCACAGAACAATGATAGCAGCCTTTGCTTTGCTCTTTGTGAACCGTGGTGAAGAAGTCAGAAATAGCGTCTAAAGATAAATGATCTCACAGCCAAGCGGGTTACAGGGAGCTGCAGTTTAGCTGCACAGCAGACTCACATGCAAAACACCCACTCTAAGCTTTTTTTTCCTCTCTCACTACAGCGTGAAGCATCATCTGGAAATGATAATCTGGCAGATCAGAAATCAGTTTCTTGTCTCATCTCAAGGAGTAGTCACTCTGCAGTTTGTTATGGGTACATAAGCATATCTTCCTCCTCGTGCAGTCATTATTGCTCCGAGGAAGGAGGGGGGAAGGCAGCACATCTTGTAAATCAGGACTCCTAGGTTCCCATCCCAGCTCTCCCACTGACGGGCTGCTGGACCTTCCCAACCTCCATCCCCTCGCTGTGCTTCATGTTTCGCCATCTGGGAAGTGGGTCTAAGACAGTAGTTCTCAACCAGGGCTCTGGGGGCCTTGAGCAGGGGACAAGGGGGCCTCCAACCAGGGCCAGCGTTAGACTCACTGGGGCCCAGGGCAGAAAACTGAAGCCCACCGCATGGGGCTGAAGACTGGGGCCCTAAGCCCCATCACCTGGGGTTGAAACTGAAGCCTGAGCAATGTAGCTGCATGGGGGCCCCGGTGGCGTGGGGCCCCAGGCAATTGCCTTGGAGTTTTTTTGTAGCATGTTGGGGCAAGGGGGGGAGGGGGGGGAGGGCTCAGAGAGAAAAAGGTTGAGAACCTTTGGGCTAAGATTCCATATTTACCTGCTTCATGGGGGGCTGGGAGGATGTGTGGGAAGTGCATTGGAAGTTCACAGACCTATGGGGAGTATCTGCCTGGGAGTCAGGAGATCTGGGTACTATGAAGTAGAAAGAGGGGGAATTTCTCTGCTTTCCCTTTACACATGAATCATGGGGTAGGATAACTATAAAACCTTAAACGAAGCAGGTCCACCGAAACCATGTGGGATACATGGCAGGATGTCAGACCGTTCCCTATGCAGAGGGGCGAGAGAGAGAGAGAGAGAGACCTTAAAGCCTAATCCCCATAGTGCTGAGCATTTTAGTTCCCACGTACTTCCATAGGAACGTACAGTGCTCAGCGCCTTGCAGGATTAGACTTGTAGGAAATAAACGTTAGCCACCATCTGTTAGAAATATTCTAGACTGAGGTAGTGTCTTGGAAACAGCAAACCAGTAAAAGCCGGCTTTTAAAGGTAACCCTTGGCGGGTCCTACCCATCAATGGAAGCTGGGTGAGCCCAGAAAGAAGGAGCCAGCCTGCAGGGCGAACAGGAGTGCAGTGATTGTGGCAACATTACTCTGCAGAATCTTCACCCTCCTGGTCTGGGTTGCAAATCGTTTATACAACTCGCCTGCCCAATGGCATTTTCCTTTCAATTCTTTACACGCTGTCCTGGACATTTAGGTGCATATGCTCAAACCTGGGGGGCTAAAGATGGATCGAACTTTAGGCAACCCATGTTTTAAAATGTTGGCCTAAGTGGCTTGCTCCAGGCCAGAACAGAGTCAGAGGAAGACTCTAGGAAGAGAACGTTTTGACTTGCAGTTCCAGAACCCTTGGAGGAAACCATCAGGGGTTGGTTAGGTTTCAAAGGGGGAGATTCAGGTTGGAAGCCTTATAGGTCATGTGGTAATTAAGGAACAAACCATGATAATAAGTAGCTCACTTTTCCATCACACCTCCTCCTCCCAACCCAGGCCTATTCCTGTTTTACTGGAAATGCAAGGCCATAATATACCTTATCGGAACTTGTTTAGTTGTTGTTGTTGTTTTTTAGCAGCTCCACGCTACTTTCTTTTTTGAAAAAATGAATCATTTTTATACAAGGGGAAGTGAATGTGGCTGAAGTGGTGATGGTGTGAGATAGGACTCCTTGCTACGGAGTCAGCCAGGAAGAGATACTCAGAGGCCTTTGTATTTCCCCTTTGGCCTGTGCAAACCCAGTGTGGACACATCCAACAACCCCGTCCCGGCCAGCGTCCTCTGCAGGGCTGAAGGCAGGACCTCTGGAGTTAAAAGCATGAACCTCAACTGCTTAAGCTAAAGAAGCACGTGCGCCCATGTAAAATGCACTCACAAGCATTAGGAGCAGCCCAATGAGAGAATCACAGGAAGAGATTTCTTAGCTCATTTCCCAATGACACCCCCCCTCCACCCCGTGCAGGATTGTTCCCAGCAGTACATTCCCCAGTGGGCTGTCCCGTTTAATTTTAAATGCCTCCAAAGGATGCCCAGGTTCCATGGCGGGTTAGAGCGGGGAGAAGAGAATGGAGTAGGAGGAGGGAGAGACAAGGGGCTGGGTACAGCCGAAGTCTTCGTCTGATTAAACTGGCAAGGTTGAGGACTGCTGCTGCATGCTCCATCTCGCCTCGCCACAGGCCACCAGAAGGTGCAAGTAGACCCAGATCTGCAGTGCACTGTGTCACCGTGGGGCCATATCTGCATGGAGGGACCAGCTAGTCATATGTTCTTATCTCTAACAGGGCCATATCCTCCCTCCTGCATGCAGCCTCAGTAACTGGGGTATGCTCGGAGGAGGAACAGGAGGGGAGAGGTAGCCACCTCCATTCTGTGCTGTGGTGGCCACCCTGCACCTGCAAGGGGAATGGCTTCCTCTGCATGCCAGGGCACAGGACTTCATCAACTGCACCCACGCCCCTTAGGCCGGTTCTTTCCACACTACCCGCTGGGCCGGTGAGGCCAGCGTCAGGGGCAGGATTTGGCCCATGGGTTTCTTCCTAAACCCCTCATCTGACCCCTCAAAGGTCCCGATTTTCTCTGGCTCGATTTGTCATGCGGGAGTGTTTCTTTGCTTGTGCCCGGTGTTGTTTTTGATCAGCAGCTCCTTGCAGGTGTCCCAAAGGAGGCTGGCAAACAGCCGAGCTTCTGACACTCTCTTCTTCTGAGAACCTCACATCCTGCTTTCTTTTTTGTGTATCTTGCTACAACCAGCATCATGACGACGTCGCGCGGGTACAGTGCGTGGCACCTTGCTTCCCCAAGGGTCTCAAAGCCTTTGTCTAACGGGTTTAGTCATTGCTGAAATTCAGCCATCTCTGGAGTGGAGCGCCGCATCAGCGCTAAACAACAGGTGAGGATAGGAGGTGAAAATGACCGTCTCCAGCTGAAGCCGCAGAGGGATTTTAAGAAAGCCAAATATATTATCCAGATTGGAGTTTGGCCATTGGGGACGTTCACACCCCGACTCTTGCAAAAGGTGCCAGGGAATCTTCGGCGACCACAAATGGACAAGACCTTAGCGTTGCGTCAAAGATGGTACCACTGACTGAACAGCTCCCCCTATCGCCACAGAGAGACGCTACAAATAGTAAAAGGTCATGTGTTTCATTTTTCTGCATCACTGCTTACACTTTCCAAATGCTGTGGAGTTAACTGCAGCGGGAAGTTCCCTTCAATAGTTCAGATTGAATGGCTGGGACCGTTTGTTTTTTCCAGTGTCTTGCGGCACACTGCTGCTGTGTTTTGTGTGTGCCGGGCAGCCCTTGCTTGACATCTGCCTGTACAATCTCATGTTTCCCATTCAAACCCACGCCTTTCCTTTTCAAATAATGACTAATTATTACCTTTTTTTCTAGCAGCAACGGATCGAAACTTCTGATCTCCTTGTGAAAGCACAGCCCCTTCAGCAAAGGGGGCGTCTTCTGCATAACTTGTCCATGAGTTACCAAAGCACAGAGAGTATGCACTACAATAGACCAGTGGTCTCCAAACTTTTTTAATCGTGCACCGCTATCAGTAAAAATTTTTTGAGCATGCACCCCCTGCTGTGCCGGCTCTACCATTTTTGCTGAAGCAAAAGAAAAAGCCGCTCGGACTCCCACCCGAACTGCCGAAGCAAAAAAGAAAAAAAGCACTTCTCCTGCTGCGCACCCCCAAAGATCCTCTTGTGCACTTTGGAGACCACTGGAATAGACTACCAAAGGAGTTTGTGGAATCCCCATC